GCATTTCCAAACATTTGGACAACCTATGTTGTAAATGTATTATCTTTTCAATTTACACACGGCATCTGTTGCACGTCTGTCCGTCCTGGGAGAGGGATCCCTCCTCTGTTGCTCTCCCTGAGGTTTCTCCCATTTAAACTGTTGGTTTTCTCTGGAAGTCTTTCCTTGTACGATGTGAGGGTCTAAGGACAGAGGGTGTCGTATTGTCATACTGATATTCTGTACAAACTGTGAAGCCCACTGTGACAAATGTAACATTTGTGATATTGGGCTATATAAATAAACATTGATTGATTGATTGATTGATTCTCCCATCAGTAAACATAACACTGAGGTAGTGTTTATGTTTTCAAAAGATGTTATTGTTGTTGTCATCTGTTTAAAACGTTAACAAAGTTGTGTCTCTAACATTGCTGCTACATATTAACTATAAATCTGGACTAATGACTTCCCCCTGTTCATTTAAGCACTGTCAAATGCATAACTGAAGCACAATTTCCATCCAAGCGTTTTCAACTCCAGAAGGAAACACTTGAGTCAGTCTCTGGAGAAGGTTTTTGTTTGCGTTGACAGATTAAAGTTACAGCATGTATGGTTTTAAATATAGACATAACAACACTTACAGCTGCTTAATAAGTAAAGCTACAGTAGGTTTGCATTACATTACATTTATCCAAAGCGACTTACATACTCAATACTGTGGACAATCCCCACAGGAGCAATTTGGGATGAAGTGTCTCAGGGACACAACAACATGCTGACTGCCGTGGGGTTTGAACCTGATCTGAACACCAACTCTCAACCCACGCCTCCCTCTCAATATGTTCCCAAAGTTCCACACCAAGTTTGAGCAGTTACACTGAAACCAATCCACTGATTGTTTCAAGCCTATAGTAATTGCTTTGGGACTATATCATGGTCAGTAGGCTATTACACTGCAGGCCAAGATTTTGTAAAATTCAGAGAAAACCAAAAAACATATTTTGCAAAAGCCAATCTCTCCCACAGTTTGGACAACATCCAAATGTTTTCCGGCTCTTTTAATATGTATAATTCCAAGAAAACTTAAATGAAAAACTTCATTTCGAGCCACAAAGGATGCATTTTAAGTTACATGAGGGTTGCAATGATTACTTTTTCTTGATTTATAGAAATATGGTGAGAAAAGTTGAACAATTGAAATCACAATTACTAAAATCCCAAGAAAACTTATTTTTATTGTTTGTTTTTTCCGATTTGGCACTAATATGAGACAAGGAAACGCTAGGAATAGTTCCTTGTAATATGAATTGAACAATTGAGTGACAACATATATATAGAGAATGGAACCAAGTACTTGGCATTTATACTGCAAACACACCACAGGAAAGGGACTCATTGAGAGGTACGACTCATCCTCTAATATTAGCTGGGGTCTAATTAGATCTCCTCAGTTCTGTACAGTTTGTTTAATTGTGGTTTTCAGCAGGATTCAGGAATTATTTCTGAAATAGCTGTCAAGCTCAATTGAGTATTATTTCTGAACCTACATTTGTCAGGGTTTGGATAGGAGTATTCAGCCCTGTCAACAAGGCAGACAACAAAGTATGAGGCTGAAGATATTTAGAGGTGAGCAACGTCTGTCCCCTGACACACTCAGTGGGGGGGTGGTGGAGCAAGTCAGGTGTGGCTGTAAATTAACACCCAGCAACAAGTGTGTATTTATGTGTTCATGCATGTCTTTGCACGTGGGTGTCCATCCACACTCATGCATGTGTGTGTGAATGTGTATGTAGCCATATCAGGCACTCGGGGTGAGAGAGGAAGAACTTCATGGCCTTTACCCATCTCCCATGCCCCCTGTTTCCTGCTCCACCCCCCCGGCGGGCCTGAGGATTAGCCGCTGGTCACCCCACTCGGACTATTCTCTCTCCGCTGTGTATCTCGCCCTGTCCCACACACTCTGCCACCTCAGCGTTTGGGCTGTTTGGACAGGAAAGCCCTCAGCCAGCTGCCTGCAACAACAAGCCGACCTTAGTCACTGTGTGTGTGTGTGTGTGTGTGTGTGTGTGTGTGTGTGTGTGTGTGTGTGTGTGTGTGTGTGTGTGTGTGTGTGTGTGTGTGTGTGTACTGAAGAGCTGGGTGTGAAAAAGATGAAGCGAGACTGAAAGTAGTACAGTGAGAACATAACAGTGATGTGTGAAATGAAATATTAAAAAATATGAGACCTCAGAAATGTATGTATCTTGAGTATGATGTGGGGGACAGTACAGAAAAATGTCTCCACATCTCTCACCCGACAACTAAGCGTGCAAATCACACTTTTTCTTCTAGTAAAAGCACTCTTCACTGGATCATTATATGTCATTTTCTATGTCCCAAAAGCAAAGTAAAAAGGAGTTTTTGGCAGCTTTGATCGATAGATACATTATATAGATTGACATAAGCATGGCATGTTTTGCATCATGTAAATATCTATGATGAAATAGCTAGATATTGCATATGTCAATTAATGCTATTAACCTTGCACAAAATGCTGGCTATAACATTTTACCGTTCATTAACATAAACCGTAACGACCAAGCTAACTAACTATTGTATTTACTGACTACTTACTAATACAATTGTCTAACTTATTACCAACTGTGTATCAGTCTTATTTTTGGATGCCACTAAAAGTACTATTTCAGCAATTGTACATACATGAGATTACTTACAAGAGTGTGGCCATTTAGAACGGGTAGAAAAACATATTTGATTGGGAAATGGTTCGATGATATCATTTGTTTATATCTGACTTTTGCATGTATATTTGGTAGAGTGCTCCTTTAAGGTGAATAGCAGTGTTCTGTAGATGCTTCTTGCCCTGGTGTAACTATTCTGAGGCACTGACACGACATTTGGGGCTTGTACTAATGTTTTGTGAATTAACTAACATGTAAGTGTGGGCTACAGTAGATGTCACTCACAGATGTTGAAACCTTGAAGAAACGTCTCCCTGTGTGCTCAGATGAGACGACCTCTTACCCACTCTTTGCACTTCCTGTGTAGGGTAGCACTCTGAGCCTCATTTCCTGTGAAAAATGCAAAACTTTCCCTTGCAGCTTTTTCAGCGTCTTCCTCATTGAATCAATGTACCTTCTTCTCCAATTATTCTCATGTAATTTTTAGTGTGTTGTGTCTTTTGTTTTCTTCCCCTGTTTTGTAAAGTAGTGAGTGTTGGACTGTACAAATCTGCCCAAATACAGCACCTCTCTTCATCAACAACCGGCCTTCATGCAGAGTAACCCCCTCTGTTATTACAAGTGGCTTTGTAAGGCGAGGCCACAGCCACATACCCCACAATGACAGATTAACTAGTTTGAACCAGTGAGGACTGTGGGCTCCAGCCAACAGACACTAACCACAGACCTCATACAGTACACACCAATCCCCACACATGCACACAAACAAGCACAAACTTAATGTCTATCACACATCATGTTGTGCACACTCTTTGAAAAACTATTTTTCCATCACAGAGTCAGTTGCATGTTCCGAGACTTGCATATGGGAGAGATTTGGCCAAGACATTTCACATAGGTCTGCTGCACTTCAGCTTCATGAATAGCTTACCAGTTAAGTTACACAAGTGTACAGCTCCGTGTCTATTTGCATACACACTTTTATGTGCGTATTACTTGGAGTCATGTATGCACATCTCTGTTAAGTGATGTAACCTTTCAACTCAGAGCAAACTGACCCAGAGGCAGAAGGAACATACAGTTCAGAGAGCAGGAATGTCCATGTATCTTCTGTCCTCACAATAAAAAGTGTGCAATGTGTGTTCAGCAGACGATTTATGAATATGAAACCTCAGGTACCTGGTCGCTGTGTTCCTAGCTTTATGGTAGGGACAGATAAGCCCTTAAGTCCTAATTTAAAGGGTGGAACCCCTGCAAGAAAAGAAACAATACATCTATAAGCACCGATTATTTGTTGATATTGGATTTGTTGCCAAGGGCATGAGGCCAGACAGGAAAATGGGACACATGGAGCTATACGATATCTTGACACAACATGCCTGAGCATGTAACTCTAAGCAAATACAGGTCACGCGGTTGAATGAAATATAAAATATGTGACATATGTAGCGTGCCACCTAAACAGATACCAACACATATAGAACACTTGTTAGCTCATCTGTGTGACATGCAGTAACTCAAATGTGACCACGATGACGAAACTGGGGGGAAATCATGTATTTTGAATGTCAAAAGTGGGTATTGGTCCA